CTGACCACCAAGCTTGCGCTCTTTCAGCATGGCATTGTTGTCTAACGCCGCAAGTTGTGTCCTTGCAACCATACCTTTGTACGCAAATTGTTCCTCTTTTGAACAGTATTTCAACATCATGGAGTGGTACGCCTCTATTTTACCAGTATGGCAAAAGTCTGTTAGCTTAGCTAGGTCTTTGAGAGGCTTTGTGCTAAGAAAAGGCTCTTCCAAAGCTAAGTTAGCAGGTGAACCTACCTTAAGCCAACAGATGTTCTTTGCTTCTGATGATGGGATCCGGTTGTGGCCACATTGACGAAATAAAGTGTTGCTAGGCTTGTGCTGGTTTGCTATATGATGTAACACAGATGTCAACTTCTCTCGCAAAAGGACCACATTGCCATCACAGGCTGCTGCACGCCACCAGAGATGATTGGAAATCAATTGTTTCCATGGTATCAATTCCTCACAATTCTTTTTTTGTGCCTTACTAGTTAATTTTTCACCACCCACTTCGAAAGGTGCCAGACATCATATTGGTGATTTATTTGTGGACTTTCTTTATTCATGAAGCTGCTGATAGACATATGTCTTTCAGTGGTCATACGGTTGATTTGAATGCCACCACCCTCTAGGCTTTTAATGCAATGTTTTAAACCTTCCTTCTCCGTGGTTTTAGAGGAGGTGACCTCAGAAACCTGAACAACACTGAATGCCACCACTTTACCAGTACCAGCGTCCATTAGTGTTTAATTGCCATACTTGGCATTGTGTCCAGGGCTGTCACACCGCCTGTCACCATTTAAATGAATGGCACTCTTATTAACCAGCTCCTGCCTTACCATTTGTTGTTCATTTTTCCATGCCTGGTTTAAAACTGGAAATTGAAATCACCTCTGGGTGTCATGGAAAACACGCTGACTAATACATTGCAAGTTCAGACATGATACTAACCGGCTTACACCCGTAAAGGTTTTACCTGTAAACAAAATAGAAGTTGCCAAGAGTAGGTTTCCCACTGGTTCTCTTTTAATGATTGGTTGGGAGTCCCAGTGGGTGGTATGGCTATCAAGACAAATCATTTCTACAGTTAGCTTACTCCCAGTCGTTTTGTTTTTTGGCTTGTCACTGTTACACCACATTTAGGGAAACGTTTAAGCTACTGATCAAAACAATTCCTGGAAACAAGATATTTTTTTCTGTGTGAGGAGGTTCTAGTTGACCTTCTGATTCTCCCTTGAAGGAGTGGTTTCCATCGGGGAGCAGGTTTTGTTTACCTTTTGGTAAGTTCGTGTTTGGGTCCATATACTCATCAAAGTCATCCTCATTGACCTCCTTGTCATCAAAGTCATTGTCAATGTTATTTTCATCTAGAGGGTCAAATTCAATTATTGTATGTAGGGTAAGTGAATCTTCATCAACACCATAGGTAGGGTACACCATGGGAACAGACATTGAACAGTTATGATCATGGGGTATCCTCCATTCTTCAGCAGGGACAGTGAAAACTTGCTTGAGTTTCAACCAGAGAACTGCCATTACTTGAATAACCTGAAACCACTGTAGTGGGTAGATCATCAGTTTGTGTTTCAACACTTACTTCTATAATGGGATCAAAACAGCCCTGGGTTGCTGTTTCAGACAATGCTCGGCACTCCTCGCACCTTGAAACTGAAGGTGGAGCATTGTTAGGGGCACTGTAGTCCAGTATCTCTATGTTGCTTTATTTGGACCTTTGTACTGGAGTCTTAAAATACTGGGCAGGTTAGCTTGCTAGAATAATTATACAAGATAGCTGAAGACAGTAGTATTTTAGTAGGGGTAAGTCGCATAGCCACGAATGCTTGACTTTATACTGATCATGAATGTTTGAAATACATATTCATTAACTCCAGTGATCTGCGCAGGTAAGTCGACTTCAAAACTTTCCGCTGAAAGGCGCTCGCTACAGACATATCAGTTCTCAAGAAGGCATATTAGTCCCTCTTATCCGTTCCAGCCATGCTTTCCGCCGCTGAGTATCTCGCGTTAACTTGTGGTAACTGATACCGTTAGTTTTGGCTGAATAGTTAATACATCCAAGAACACTCTAACTTACCTCCTTAAACTAGGTGGAAAAATTCCCAAATAACCCCATCCATTATGCATTCCGTTCATTTATTATGCATGCACTTCATTTTTATTTTTAAGACAATGACGTATTCCCAGGGGTTTAGCATATATACATTACTGATCAATAGTTATTGCTTCAATAAAAGAGAAATCTATTGAGATTAGTTTTTTTTTCCCTGTTTCTTTCCCACATCTCTCTTGCCGCCCCTTTTTTTCCCGCTATATATTTTTATTCCTAAAATCTTCTTTTTTTCTCTTTTCATAGCCATATTTGGGCTGATTGTACCATAGCATGCTTCTGATAAAGTACACACATTGGGTTACAAAGAAAGACATTTCAAGAAGCAAATAAGGGCCTGGTAAAAGCCTCTTAGGAAGCACCCACCCCTTCCCCCTGCAAATCAATAACTATCTCCTTACGTATATAATAAGCAAATAAAAAAGTCACATTCCAAATAGAGGATGAATTTTCTTTGAAATGTATGAAAGCGATCCTCGCAGTAGTTAACTCCACTTATGTAGTGTGGAAATAAGACCTGAAGAAATAAATAAATTTAGGCCCGTACAGGATTTGAACTCATGACCTCCTCTGCGATACCTGTACAGTGTTCTACCAACTGAGTTAACAAGCTTAATGGGAGCTGGTCAGTATGTTGCATTGGCTCATATTAAACCCGTCGAAGTGATATAAGTCAATGAATTTTGAATATACGGAAATCAGATATGCGTGATGCGGTTTCAAGGAATGTATGAACGCGATCCTCGGAGTAATAAACCCAACTTATGTAGTGGTGCAAGTATGACCTGAGAAAAATTCAGCCACAAATATTTATTTTGAGTAGAAATTTAAAATTTCATTTAATGGTGTTCATGCCATGCATATAAACAACATTACGCAATTTATTCATGACAAGTTTCTTTCTGTTCACAAGTTTCTTCATTAAAAAAAAAACTCCCTCTCTTTGGACATGAAGATTTGTTAATTAAAAAAAGAACCTGCTGATTGGGAAATGCATCTTTATCACTAAAGAAATTGACACGTTGCATGAAAAATCAACTCATTTCATTCCTAGTGATGTTTTATAGTTTTCCTATTTGCTACATTTTGCAAATAGTTTTTAGACATTTTACAGACGACATAGTACTTTATCTACGTTTTTTTGTAGAAAACGTAAATGTTTGGCCAGGCATCTTTTTGAGACTTTGAATAAGCTTTTATTTGACCTCCAAACACCAATTTAAGTATTCCAGTGTCTTTCTGGAAAGCTCTGCTGTGTGATACACAGCAAAACGGCGAGTAAGGAGGTTCAATCAGATGACTTGCTCCTGGATAACGTAAATTTGTGCACAAATGTTCCCTACCATTTTCCTTCGTGCGATCAAGAATAAACTTTAACGAGAACTCTGTGTTCACATTCAGGTCATCCGTTCCAGAAACCAGTTAAATTGGACTAATGATCTCTTCAACTTCTGTAACAGTCGGAATATTTAGAAGCGAAAGGACCAGCACAGCCTTCGTCTGTGGGTATAGCATCGCGCCAAATGCTACCATCTTTTGTGTCTGTTATTCTGTTCCTGATAAAAGGTATTACATCTGAGATTCTACCTTTGTACTGAAAAGGTAGAGTAAAAAAGAGATTACAAGTAGAGAAATGGCCACAGTTGCCTTGTCTGGTTTGATATGCAGACTGGTAATTAAAAGAGCAATATATGACCCGTAGCAGATGCCTTAAACACCAACGCCATGTGGAAGGACTCTTGGGTGATTAACAAGCCCAGTTTGCTGCCTCCTCAAAGTAATCGATGGGTAAACCGGTAAACAAACATGTAGATCATCATATGCAAAGTAATCTAATCCAATCTAATCCTCTTTATTAGTTTTCCACTAAAAGGGTTTTAAACATTAATTACAATTTATACTAAATCAAAACTCATGAACTTTAAAATATGTCTTAATCCTAAAAAAAAAACTACCGCGAAATTCCTTTAAAATGTCTCCTGAAGGTTGGAAAACTGAGACATTCTTTTACTTCACGTGGGAGAGAATTCCAGAAACTCGTAGCACGGTATATACCTTCTTAATCTGACATAGGCTACCTATGCACGAGGACACTGTTTGGGTAACATGTTCATCATAGCTTAGAGTACTGTCTATCTGCAAGCCAAGATCCCAAGCAGAAGGAGATGGAGCGACCTTCTTTCCACACGTCAGATGCTTCAGCCTCTCAAGCATCTTACATGTGCCCAACACCAGAACCTTGGTTTTCTCTGGATTTATGAGAAGGCTCTTGTAACAACACGATCTTGCAATTTTTTCTAAGTCCTTGTTGATCTGTTGAGTCATAATGCTAGCTTCAGCAACTGCGAATGAAAGATATAACTTCGAATCATCAACATATAATTTAATTTTAATTTTTAATTTAGTCCATTTTCACTGCATTAAAGTTTTGCAGTGGGGAAGGACTAGAGAGGAACATAGGAACCATTCGTGCTAGTCCACCCTCCCACCCATCCCAGCCCAGGGGAGGACATCCATCACACAGTAATCTCGTGTGTGGGAAATTAACATCTCTTACTCCAACCCTGCTGGAGACGGAACCGCCATATTTATTCGTCCTTATCCGAGAAGACTAGAATATCTAATCGTTTCTTGATGTTATTGAAAGGTAGCAGATTCTTCTCAATTATTTTAAGACCCTGAGCGTTGGTCCGGCTAGGGCTCGACCCCTCGACCTCCCGCACAACAGTCCAGCGCTCTATCCATTAAGCTAGCCGGGAGGCGGTTATGACTCTAGAGAACACACTCCGGTATAGAAGGAATGTTATTGGGGCACATAGTAAACAAGGCGGGTCCCAAGATTGAACTCTGTGGGACACCATGTGAGATACCGCGCAAGCTTGGGGTCTCAGCACCACTCCTGACACATTGCAGCCGTTCAGAAAGGTAGCTGATGAACCAATGCGAGGATGCGCGAGAAACACCTAGCGCCTGTAGTTTTGCCAGTAGGATTGCATGATCTATAACGTCAAATGCCTTAGAAAAGGCCAAAATTACCACAAGTGTGACTTTCTGTGCATCCATAGCGCCTAGTGCCTTATTCGTGATCATGAAATTAAGGGTTTCACACGAATGAAGTTTTTTGTTACCACTTTGGTGTTCACTAAGGCGCTTTTTGGTGGTCATATATGTCATTAAATGATTTGAATATATCAGCAAAGTTGAAATGGTAAATTGGCCACCGTTACCATTATAAAAGCTGACGTTTCGAGCGTTAGCCCTTCGTCGGAGCGAATAGGGGAATTGGGGGTTGTGTGTGCTTTTAAAGGCATAAAAAGGAGCTACGTGTTTGGTTCCTTTTTCTGCCTTTAAAAGCACACACAACCCACGATACCCTTATTCGCTCCGACGAAAGGCTAACGCTCGGAACGTCAGCTTTTATAATCATAACGGTGGTAATTTACCATTTCAACTTTGTTGATATATTCAAATTATTTCGTTACCCCCACCGACGCAGCCCCAAACAGTTTCTTTAGAAATTATCAACCTATATTCATATATGTCATTAATTCATTCAGAGCGACACGTTCCCAAATCTTTGACGCAGCAGGAAGTAACGAGACCGGTCGATTGCTATTCGGTATCTCATGATCTCCATCTTTCGGAAGTGGAACAACTTAAGATGTTTTCCACTCTGCAGGAAAAACTGACGACAATAAAGATCGATTCAAATAGTCCGGCAGCACAGCCAGAATACAAGGTAGCGCATCTTTAATGACAGACGTAGTAGCTTTATCAAAGCCCGGGGCTTTATCAGACGAAAACGACATTACGGCTCTACGAATCTCATGCCTAGAAACAGCGCGGAAATTAAACTTCTCCTCATCCAATATCTAATGTCCATTAGTGAAATAGTTTGGTGGAGACAGGTCATAAGTATCAATTAGGCCTTTAGATGCCTCTGCTGTTTTGACACCAACAGATACAAAAAACTCATTGAACTCCTCTGCGATCACTTTAATCTCCCTCGTATATACTTGCTGCGTAGTCTCTATTCTCAGCAAACATTTCCTTATCAACTTCCACCGAGAACCAGTATTCTGACATCCTTCTATCTCTTTATGTATGTAATCTTGTTCCGCCTTACGTAGCTTGATCTTAACCACTTACCTGGAGTCACGGTACAGTTCCCAGTCCACAGGAATCCAAGTACTACGAGCGCGCTTCAATATCTACCTCTATCTCGCATCAACTCTTTAATTTCCTCATTGACAAATGGACAGTAGCGGTGCTTGACTTTTACTGACTTAACAAGCGCATGGCTCTCCAGGACCTCAAGGAATAGCTTGTTAAATTGAGCAACCATTTCACTCGCGTCGTCGATAAGGGCAACTTCATTCCATGACACACGCTCGAGATCAGAGACAAA